ATCTCAGCTCACTGCAACCTCTGCCTCCTGGGTTCAAGTGATTCTCCTGTCTCAGCTTCCCAAGTTGCTGGGATCACAGGTGCCTGCCACCACAAAAAAATTAAAATTGTATATTTAGTAAAGACTGGTGGGCGGTGGGGGGGTTCACCAGGTTGCCCAGGCTGGTCTCGAATTCCTGACCCCAGGTGATCCGCCCACCTCAGCTTTCCAAAGTGCTGGGTTTACAGGCGTGAACCACCGTTCGCAGCTACAATCCCTATTTTCAATTGAGGAAACAATATCAGAAAGGTTAAGTAATTTCCCAGAGGTCACACAGTTTGTAATTGACAGCACCAGGATTTAAACCCTACCTGTCCAGTTCCAAAGCTCCCCCTCTTCTCCTTCCATATATGCCATGCTACATCTCCTTAAATTGGAAGGATGAAAAACACCCAGCACAATGCCTATCACACAGTCATGCCCAAGCACTGGGGGTTCCTCTTCAGACTGAGTTCTGACCACATTTATAATTGGAACCACACTTCGGCACAATGTTATCAGGCATTGTGTGTGTGAATGTTTTCACATCGATAAAGCATTCCTCCAATAAGAGCACAGACTCCTCGATTAAGAGTTTGAGATCTAGGGGCAGAGTGACTGGGTTCAAATCCCTGTTCCACCACTTACGATCATCTTGGATCACTGTTTTCTGCCTCTATGCCTCAATTCTCTGATCTGCAAAGTGGCAATGGGAACAATATATGCACTATTGCCAATTATACCAGTAATACATCCCACAGGGTTGGTATGAGGATTAAAGGCTAGAATATATATACTCAATAAATTGACTATTATGTTTTTCATTTTCCATGGCTCCTAGATGGATTTTCACTCTTTTCACCCAGGCTGGAGTGCAATGGCGTGATCTTGACTCACTGCAACCTCCGCCTCCCTGGTTCAAGCAATTCCCCTGCACCAGCCTCTCAAGTAGCTGGAATTACAGGCATGCGCCACCACGCCCGCCTAGTGTGCGTGTGTGTGTGTGCGCGCACGTGCACATGCACACATGTGCGTGTATGTGTATTTTTAGTAAAGACAGGGTTTCACCATGTCAGTCAGGCTGGTCTCAAACTCCTGACCACAGGTGACCCACCCGCCTTGGCCTCCCAAATTGCCGGGATTACAGGCGTGAGCTACCACACCTGGCCGAGGGCAATTTTAAGCAGTTTAATCATACTGCTTGATTAGACTCTGATTTCTGCTTTTGTTCTGGATACAGGACAGATGTAGTAACATTGGCACGTGGAAGCGTGACATCTATACTATCCTCTATCTTTTATTTACATAAGGCTCATTCACTGCACTATTTTTAAAGCAGTTTAAAAGAAAGGTATGTTCGCTTTCTCAAGAAATTGTTGTTCAGGAATCCTGTCATTCAGGCAGCATGGATGAGCTTGGAGAACATTATGTTGAGTGAAATAAGCCAGGCACAGCAAGACAAATACCACATGTTCTCACTCATATGTGGAAGCTAAAAAAGTTATTCTCATTGAAGTAGAGAGTAGAGTGGTGGTTACTAGAGGCTGTGGGAAGGGATGGGGAGAGCTAGAGGTTGGTTAATGAGTACAAAAATTACAGCTAGATAAGAAAATTAAGTGCTCATGTTTGATGGCACAGACTACAATAATTTAATTTGGAGGATACAATAAATTAATATATTGTGTAGTTTTAAATACACAATAGATTATTGTATAAATTAATAATTTATTGTATAGATTCACATAGCTAGAAGAGCAGATTTTGAGTGTTCACAACACAGCAAAATGATATATGTCTGGTGTGTGAATAACCCTGATTTGATCATTACATGTTGTATGCATGTATGGAAATATCACATTGTGCCCCGAAAATATGTACAGTGATGTGTCAGTTAAAAATAAAAGAAAAAAAGAACTATTTGTTCAGAAGACATCATAATACCAGTCATTATTCATTTACTACCTACTGGCTGCCAGGACCTTCACACATGCATATCGCCCTGCTAATCATCATAAAACTGCAACATGGGTATTATGATGCCCATTTTGCTACTGAGAAATCTGAGTCTCCTAGAGGCTAAGTTACCCGTGATCAAACAGTAACTACAGTCAGGATTGGAACAGGAGCCTCTGACTCTAAGGCTTTGCTCCAACCTCTATCCCAAGCTCATGTCAATTAATCCCTGTGCTTTGATAACTGTTCTTCCACTTTGCTAGATGAAGTTTTAAAAAGTTACCTAAGACTGTGACATTTCTAACTTAAATATGTGGTCTAGTGGACAATTTAAATAGCAAGCTAAATAAGTGCTTAGTCTTCACTGTAGTGGAAGGAAGGTAATTGCAACCAAAAAGTCATGCTTCTTCACCCATAGAACTGACAGACAGCTGCTCAGCCAGGGACACATTACCCAGTCTCCCATACATCCAGCTGTGGCCATAAGACTAGGTCTCTCTAATGGAACATGAGCAAAAGTGACGTGCTTTGCTTTCAATCCAGGGTGTTTAAAAAGTAGGTATGCTTTCTCCACATTGCCTAGCTGGAAGCAGAGGACTTGGAGGCCCAGAAGACTTGAATAGTGGCCATAAGATAAAAGAAACCTGGGTCCCTACTTCACCTTGAGAAATAAAGTCACTCTCTGACCAGGACATTGGACTGGTACATCAGTGAAAAATAAACTTTATTGTATCATGTTAAGCCCATGCAATTTGAGGGTTTATATGTCATAACAGCTCATACTACCCTAATACATACAGTTTACACCAAATCTGTATTTACACAGAAAAAGCAAAATGGAAGATTATAACAAGTACCTGAATAGTTGGAACCCAAAAATGCCACTTTTATTTTCTATCTGCTTATTCAAGGAGATAGCAGATTATTTAGGGCCCTTGAGCTTTTATTTTTCCTGCATTGCTTGTATCAGAGATTGAACAAGAGTAGTACGCAACAGTCATAAAACAGGAAGAAACAAATTTATTCATTCAACAGTATTTTCTCGCTACATGCCAAGCACCTGGGGCTCAGAATCTGCTGGGACAAGACAAGCCAGGTCTCATCTTCTATCAGCTTCCAGTCTACAAGTAGTAAGTACAGTTGATACCATTCACTGGCCTCCAGCCACCAAACTTCTTGGGAGAACCCAGGCTACTTGAATGTGGGCTAGATAATTAAAATAAAACCAAAGCTTACTCACAAATCCAACAGAAAGCTACGTTTCTTCCCCCTGCTAAGTGGCTAGAGAAACAATAAGAATGATGACTAAGGGCAGAGACTCGAGAATCAGAACCACCCGAGCACAAATGCTGACTCTCCCACTTTCTAGCTGTGTTATCTTGGTCAACTTCCTGTTTCTCAGTTCTCTCAACTTTAAGATTGGGTCATTAGTAATACCTGTCTCAAAGGGTTT